TCGCACTTTTTTTGCTAGGTTTTCATGGTTGTTTAGTATGTGTGTAAAACGTGTAGATTTTTATACCATACACCACATAGGGGTGAGTGTATTATGTATTTATGCATTTGTTTCTAGCATGTAGAAAGAAGCGAGTTAAACCCATAGTTACTTTTGGGGATCTTCAAAGAATCACTTTCTGAGTTGATTTATGCATGCCAATCCATCTGTCCATGTATTTTTGTGAACAAAAGTGCAGGTCGCATTTATTATGCGATTAAGATACATTTTAAAAACTTTGGCCAAGAACGAACCCTATTGAAATTGGTGAGAATCGGTTCAAATTTATATATACCTCCCATATATATATTATGTAATTATTTAATTTAACTAATTAACTAATATCAGCCCAAATGAATTGTGTCCTGGCAATTCCCACTAAATTTATCCTTAAAACAAGTACTTTAAATTTGGTGAAAATCGGTTCAGATATAGCTATAGCTCCTAATATATATGTTTCGTCCGATTAGGTGTTAAAGTCCCTCACATACATAATATGCAATCCACAACAAAGATATTTGTTAACGAACATCGGATACAGCTCGAAAAAACCTCTCCCAAATTTTATCAAGATCGGTTCAGATTTGTATATACCTTCGACTAACTATTTATACCCTCAGCCATATGGCTAGTTATACCCTTAAGCATATGGCTAGTTATACCCTCAGCCATATGGCTAGATAGTGTATATATAATTTAATACGGCCAAAACGTGCCCAGTCGAAATAACGTTTTTAGACCCTAGGTCTCTTTGGACCCAATCCCTTTCAGGACATTTAGAGTCGACCAACCGATGTCCGTCCGTCTGGCTGGCTGGTGAGCACGACAACTCTCGAAGAGAGTATCGATTCGGTCCAATTTTGGTACATTGTAATATTTTTTTAAAGCTTAGATCGAGTTTGGAGATGGGCAATATCGGTCCACTCCTTCAGATACCTCCCCCACAAAAGGTCGAAATTTTCAAAAAATATATTTTCTGCACAGAAAGTGAAAGGATAATCCGATTTTGCTCCAACTTTGCAAATTCTTATATTTGCGCGAGTGCTAGGTCAGGTGCGAAAATGGACAATATAGGTCCACTCTATCAAGTACCTCCCCCAAAGGGTTAACATTTCGAATAATTACAGCTATAATAATATGTGATGTAAGATTCCGATTATCTTCAACATTCACACATCCCAATAATTTTATTAACCAAGGTCTGGTGTTAAAGTAGAATATATCGGCCCACTCCTTCTGGTACCTCCCCCACAAAATGTCGACGTTTTGAATATGCATAAGCTCATAAAAATCGAAATAAACATCCGATGCCATTTAGACTTGGAACATCTGAATATTTCTATCAACGCAAAATCTACTCCTTCTATTCCTTCTGGTACCTTCCCCACATAGGGTTCAAGAAACGCTCAACGAAATTGATATAAACATCCAAATCTGTTCAAATTTCACACCTACAAATATTTTTGCTCACATTGTAAATATGATATATATCTGCAAACCCCATCTGGTACCTTACCCACAAAGGGTCACAATTTTAAATACTTTTATCTGTCATATCTTACGAAACGAGTCAGCGATTCTTCACAATTTGCTATATCTAAATATTTCTCTCAACCAGAAACTTGGGATTAATATGGATTTTATGATGAAGTTATCAATATAGACCAAACCTGGTAACAACCAGGTTTTATATTTATATCGTATTTATTTAGGTCCGATATGGAATGCACAATTTTGGCCCATTCCTTCGCAACCTACTCCATAGAGGGTCAACAATATAAATAATCATAAACGAAGTCAAAATATTTTTAAATAATCTAACATTGAATGTCTTTACCTCCTTAATTCTACCATGGCTGAGGGTATACATCTGTCGATAATTTTGCGACTGATACTTTTTTACTTGTTATACCCTACAATGCTATGTATTGCAGATTTTATAAGTGCTTGTAGGTGGGATTAAAATTCTGTTTTTTCAGATGACCGCAAAATATTTTGGGGTTGAAATGGACCAAAAACGGAAAACTGTATTGATTTTGCAGTTCCTCCAGAGGTCACAATTATAGACCAATCGACTCGTTATTTTGGGGCTAGAGCATCCAAAAATCTAGCAGTAGCCTAACTTTTTCATCAGATAATATTTAACGGGTGAAATAGACCATAACGTCTATGTAAAATACAATATTTGTTATTTTTAGTCCCGTTGAAATCACAAATTCACGAAGAGGTCATTTTTGACCATTACGTTGATACTGAGATCCAAGATGGGAAATTGTTTTCCATGAAATTAGATTTGACAAGGTAAGTACAGAACATTAAGAGCTGGTTATGATTACATAAAATGAGGTTACCGTACCCTGGTTTTCTGTTAGTCCGTTACTCGCACTACTCTATTGGGCATTTACATTAAGTAAGTATGATGCATACTTTAAGAATAATGTATTTCCCGCTTTTTTAAATGCAGCTGTTTTTTTGTCAATCTTACTTTTAAGAATACTTTTGCTGCATTTACACCTCCTTTTTCCATTAGCTGCCTGAGGGCTGAGCGTAAAAACAAACATCTGGTAATATAAAAAGCTTCCATCATTAATTCTAATTATTACGAAAATAAAGAAGGTAATAAACATAAACAGGCCTTGAGACTGCAGTACTTTCGGTCACCCAAGAACATGTGTTATTTGGTGTACTCAACATCACTTGATAGCTACATCGTTACACCTGAGACATGAGGATGGTCTTCCGAATATATTTGACATAGACCACCACACAGTGACCATCTGCAATGGATAAACAAAACAAGAAAGGAATAATAAATCTTGACATATTACTTCAGAGTAAGTGCATATGTGTGCGGGTCCTCTTGACCAGACATTCTAGCTCATCATGAGGGGGATTAGAAAACAAATGATATTCTTCATAAAATAAAGATGATGAAGTACAGGTGGCCAAGCTCCACTATTACCTTGAGCTGGAAAATTGAAATTTTTCTATTGGAGCTTTGTACAATAGGATAGTACCAAAATTTGGTACAATGTTTGTGTAAGAATATAATGCTTTTAATCAAAAATTTGGTAATAGATGGTAAGATTTGAAGAAAATACATACTAAATAATAACTAAATTTGGAATTTGGGGAAGGAATAGGGTAGAAAATATAACTTTTTATGAGGATCACGTTTTGTGAGGTGGTATTGGTATATGGAATCAAATTTTAAATTACGCCCTATGAAGTACGAAAAGTGCTAAGTGGTATAAAAATGCTGTAGTATTAATGGCAAATTTTAGGAAAATCTGTTCAGTAGTTTGTGAGTCTATAAACTACTAAAAAACAATCATACGTGCAAACATTTCCCTCTTTTATAGATATAGAAAAGAAGAAAGATAAGAAGAAATATTATTGTTAAATATAGTCTTTATAACAGTTAATTATTAAGTTATATTTTAAGACAAATGTTTATTACATTGCCCAAAATCCATATTTTTTTCAAAAATTATTTCAGCTAAAAAAATTACTAGCTAAAAATAAAAACACATGTATCGGCGATTTGAATATTTGCTTTCTTGGGGAAGGATGGGACAAGCTCCTCCTTATTCCACTTTTTTGGACATTTTACGATAAAGATTACATTTAAAGATTTACATTTTAGGTACATAGTGTCTTCAATATCACAGATAACAATGTGAGGAACATTTAGTGCAACCCTCTAACCGAGTCAAAAAGGGGAATTTTTAGATAGCAAGTAATTTTTTCAAAATTATTTGTCATAAAATTCTACTAAAGAACTCCAAATATATCAATAGTCTAAATTTTACCTAAATGCAGTACTTGATATGAGTGTTTGCACAATTCTCTTCATCCAATTTCACAATACGTCAACAAGTTTAAGTTTGGTGCCAATCGTTTCAGATATAGCTGCTGCTACCATATATATGTTTTATCCGATTTGGGGTTTAATGTCCCTCACAAGCGTTCTATACATTCCACAACAATGATCCTTGGTACCAGATATTAAATTTGGTGCAAATCGGTTAAGATATAGCTATAGCTCCCATAAATGTTTTTCATACGATTTGGTTTTTAAGTCCCTCACATTCGTAATAAGCATTCGACAACAATGATATTTGGTACCAGATATCTTATAAAGCTCGAATTTTGATATAGATCCCATATATCTCATCCCATATCCTTAATTCGATTTCAAGTTTATTGTGTAGATAATGACTAATATCAGCGCAAATGTAGTGAATTTTGGGTCGTCCGTATTCATTTTGTGCAACTCGGCTCCGACACATATTCTTTTTTAATATAATCCTCGTCCAAGTGATATGATGATCTACTTGAAATAAATTCTTTTGTTACGGTAGTGCTACTAAGCATTCCTAGTTATGTAGGGTATCATATAGTCCGCACCTCTCGACTTTTGACTTCTCCTTACTGTCCTTTTTTGGGAATTTGACAAAGGAAGAAATATTCTATATCAAATTTCCTTGAGAGTAAAAAAATTTTACAACTTTTTTATAGTTTTATAAAAAAAAAAAAACTTTATTTTATTTTTAACAAGATGAGCAGTTTTTCGAATTTGCTGTCAACTTTCTCATAGCCCATTAAAAAGTGTGGTTTGTGCAAAGTGCTAAGACATTCGATAGTGCTCGGTTTGTATAGTTTCAGACAAATATATACAGCCTGTTCCACGATGTCGAAAGAACACGTTCGCACAACTTTTACACGACAAACAGCTGATTTCCGTTCCACTAAAATCCATCAGAACGAAAATTTGCACGAAAATCAAAGCGAACGAAAACGTAAGCGTTTCAGTGTAATTTTGCGTTCCACTATCTTTTTTCTTTCGTACGCATGCGAACACAAATGTCAAAATCAGTCACTTGTGTGTTTGCTGTCGTACGATAACAATTAAGGAAAATCTGTTTTAAAACATAAACATTGCTTAATTGAAACAAAAATGTAAGTAAAAATAATAAATCCAATTTATTATGGGAACAATAAATATATTTTTTTATTTTCTCAATTCCAGCACGAAAAAATCATCAACTACACAGCTGCGGGCACTAGTTGAGTATATGGAGGAGAATCCCGAGTTTGCCAGAGGAGTGCCAATTTTTGGAAGCAGCAGGCAATCCCTGGAGGACCACTGGAAGAAGTTAGTTTTTAAATTAAATACCATGGGTCCTCCTTCCCGCACAATTGCAGAGTGGAAAAAGGTAAGTCAGAAAACTCTGCTTACGATCTATTTGTCTGACCGGCATTACTATTTACAGACGTGGGCCGATCTAAAATCCCGCACCAAAAAGAAAATTGCGGAAAATAAAAAAGGGCTGCAAGGTACAGGTGGTGGTTTATACCGGTTTGAGTGCCTAACGGAGCTGGAAACAGCAATTGACCGGACACTCTTCTTGTCGAAGTCCGCAGCACCAAGTGGTAAAACTTTTGGCTACGCGGACGAAATAGATTACTGCTTCGAGGCATTGGATACCACACCATCAAGACCATCCAAGACCGTAGCAGTGGTAAAACCTACCAGGCAGTTCAGTTCCCCAGAATCACATACCCAACAACAACAAATAAACGTAAAAACCTGTACCATCACAACTCAACAATACCAACCACCAGCCAAAAGACAAAAAATCTCACCCCATTTCTACACAAACTGCAAAACAACAGGCACAGTCAGCACACACACAACAAACTCAGACACAGTCAGCACACACACAACAAACACAGACCCAACAGCAACACCAACGTAAACAAACAACGTCCCCTCGTCAAGACATGGAACATCAAACCGTGCAGAAATCACCCCCATTCAAATGCACATCACAACATAATTTTCCATCCACATCATCAGCAAAAAAACGTTCCAACGTCGGAGAGCAAATACCTCTTATCCGTCGGCAATTGCGGCTGGTCGAGCAGGCAAATGCAATAGCCAAGGAGCAAGCAGATGCAAGCAAAAGGATGGCTGACGCTGCAGAGAGAATGGCAGATTATGCCGAGGCCCAAACAAAAATGCTTAAGTCTATAGAAGCAATTCTATCAACTTTTTTGCAAAACAATTCACTATAGTCCTTTTATAATAATTTAAACTAATTTTTTAATTTTTAATTTAATTTATTTTATTTTAATAAAAAATTCTTTTAATTTTACAAATTTATTGCAATTTTTCTCCTTATTGCGTCAGCTCTGCTTTCAAGATCATTATTGTCATCCACTTCGTCTTCCAGATCATCATCAATAACATCACCTGGCGGCTCTTCAGATCGGTAGTGTATGCACATGTTGTGCAGCGCACAACATGCATTTATAATTTGCACTACCTTTGCAGCGTCATAATGAAGGCCCCGAGATCCGATGATACATCGGAATCTGTTTTTTAGGACCCCAAAGCACCTTTCAATGACGTTACGCGCACTAGCATGTCTCTTATTGAATTTTTTCTCGGCGACATCTCTAGGGCTGCGGTAAGGCGTCATAAGGCTTCAATTTGTATCCTCCATCCCCTATAAAAGAGAAAACACAAATGTAATTGATGTATTATGATATAAGATGTATACAAATTACTCACCGAGAATCCAAAAGTTTCGTTTTCCATTGTCAAACTCCCTTTGCATACACTTGTCTGGATCACTCCTTTCCCATACAAATGCATCATGGTTGCTTCCGGGATGTCTAGCGTCGACAAATGTTATACGCATTTTATGGTCACATATCTAATTCGAAAAAACACAATAATTTTAAAATCGCTTTACGATAAATGTATTTACTTACCACCATTGCATTTATACTATAATAACCCTTTCTATTATAGTAAAGGGCTTTCAATTCGTCCCCAGGTGACTTGATGCGGATATGCGTGCCATCAACGCATCCAACAATTCCAGGGAACATTGTTCTTTCATAGAAAGTCTCCATTGTGTTGCGTTCCTCTGTAAGTGTCGGCTTTTTTATCCATTGGCCGCAAATGTGGTCCTCAAAAATCTGCAGACATTCCGCAATGGTTCTGCTCACTGTCGACTTCGCTGTTGAAGTCAAGGCTTCGTTCCCTAGATTCTGTTGGTAGCTTCCTGTTGCCAAAAACCGCAAGAATGTGCCAAGTTTTAAATCGGGGCGGATTTGGGTAGTTCTGCAACCGGCCACCCACTTCTCTTCCATCATATCCAAAAGAGCCCGAAAAACTTCCTTCGACACACGAAAATTGACCACAAACCTAGAAAAAATCATTTTTTATTATTTCAAAAATGTAAAAATACAATCATACTTACTGGTTGTTAGGTACTTCAAATAAATTCGAAGCATCTCTTAAATGCCTCCGTGGCACATTTTGTACCTCCTCCTCATCATCCATAAAAAACAGGGCCACAGAAATATTCATTTTTTTCTTTTTTAAGAACACAAATAATCTGAACACAATCACTAGAAATTTTATTTTGTTTGTTTATTTACAATTTGTTTGTTTACAACTGAACTGTCAGTTGAGACAGAGCCACTGCTGCTTTTCGCGTTTAAATTAGACATTTGGCGCTTTTTTTTGACTTATTTCGCGATTAATTTTGCCAAAAAATATTTTGCAACACTGAATCACGTAAGGCTATGCGAAAGAAAGAACGAAAGTTAGTGGAACGCATTCTTATGCGAAAGTGAGTGAGTAGCCTTCGTTCGCACAAATTTTCTTTCGAGATCGTGGAACAGGCTGATAGTTTAGGTTTTTTAGGTTTGCACCTGCTCGTATCAATGTAACTTTTTAAAACCTTGTTTTGTATTCTAAACTATGTTACCACCACTTTTCTTAAGACAAATTTTCCTCCATTACTTGCCTGACAACTGAGTGTAAAAGCAAGCATCTGGTAATATAGACACATATTGTAATTATTTGTAATAATTACGAAAATAATGAAGGTAGTAAACATAAACAGGCCAAAAGAACTAGACAAAGTCTTCAGTACTTCAGATCACCCAAGAAAATGTGTTATTTCGTTTACTTAACATCACTTGATGGCCACATCGTAACATCTGAGTCATCAGGATGGCCTTTTCCTACATTTCGGAAATGGCTTAACTAAACTGGGAAGAGATAACAAATCCTGAGATATTAGTTCAGTGTAAGTGCATATGTGTGTATGTGCTCCCATAATAACATCCTCGCTCGTCTGTTGGAGGTAGGATGCTGCCATATACTTTGTGCTCCGATGTTTATGATAACAAGTATCCATGTTTTATGGCAATTTTGGAAGCTTAGAAAAGAGCTAACATTTTTTATAAAATCATGATGATGTACAGGTGAAGAACAGTATGATGAAGAGGTGAAGTATGATGATGAAGAACAGGTAGAGTTTTGAAAATGCACACTATATGAAAAGCACTAAATGGTAATATAGTTGATATTGGGTAAACGGATAGTGCTTTTAATCTGAAATTAGGCATGCGTATTCAAAAATAAATAAATGTAGTACAGGGTGAGATAAAAAAACTGCAACATAGTCTAACGTCATATTTTTTTAAATTTTATTTAACGAAAGCAAGAATATCGGAAATAGCATCAAATTTTAGAAGAAGTTTTGATTTATTCGAATTGGTCACTCTTGGCACAAAACGGCCAATGAAACCGTCACACGCTGCCCGAATGTTGCTCTGCAGTATTTTGGTCCATTCCCGGCGAAGCACTTGCTTGAGGTGATCGACACGTTGATATTTTTTAGTGCCAACCTTGCTTACCAGAATACTCCGGACACAATAATCCAACGGATTGATATCCAGAGATTTTTGTGGCCATTGTGCGCTGGAAATGGAGCGAGGAACCTCATTTTGAAACCATTAGAAACCATTCGGAACCTCATTTTGAAACCATTCGGCGCGTGCTGAGTGCGATGGTGCTGAGTCTTGTTGGAATGTCCAAGGTATGCGGCCAAAATGTTTGCGTGCCCAAGACTTTAAAACACCCACCACAATAATTTCGTGATAATATTCGGAATTTATTCTGATGCCGCTGTCGATAATGGTGGCCCACACCATCACCATGGCAGGCGCTTCAGTTTTGATGGCCAACCGAAGATGCACATTTTCAGCTGACCTCTCTGGCAAGTACACACGATCATTTTGTTTGTTTACAAATTGCAGGACAACATGTGTTTTCTCATCGGAGAAAACCAAATTCGGCAGTTCACCACTTTCGGCCAAGCGAAGCAACTCTTTAGTTTGTTGGAGTCTATTTTCTTTGTGTTGCGGTATAAGTTCTTGCACTTTCTGGAATTTCAATGCCGAATGGAATATTGCGATATGTTCAGCTCCCCAACCATTTTTCAGCCACTGCGACGCCGGTTTCGATCAAGCCGCTTCTTTACTTTTCGAACCATTTCTGCTGATGTTGCTGTTTTCTTCCGTCCACTTCCTTGACGTCGGGCTACGCTACCAGTATCACGGTAACGAGCTATGGTACGAGACACAAAAGATGTATTCACATTTAAATGCTGAAGTGCTCTAACGATAGCCACTTGTAGTTTTCCAGCCAAATATAAAGAAATCACGCTCTCACGCATGACTTCCATCACGAATAACTTTTTTCCAGAAATTTCTCACTAAATGCTTTTATACGCTTGTAAACAACATAATGAGATATCACTGGAATAATCACAGTCCACAGTGGTCGCTGCCATTGGCCAAAATTCTAAAAATGAAACTCAGATATTTATTGTCAAATGTGTACACATGAACTCTTAAGAGGTTAAGCTTTTTAGAAAACATAATAATCTTGGCTTCATTCTAACGGGACACTTCGAAAATAGCATCAAAAAAGAGAAAATGTAGTTAGTTGCTTTTTTCAGTGGGATCAGTGAAAAAAAGAGTAAAAATAGATCTGTATTACAATATTAAACACATGTTAAAATGAATAAGTCTTGGCATAATTATTGAAAAGCAAGGTATTGACTTATTTTTAGTGCAGTAATTTGTGTGTTTAGTTGTTGTGTATAATATAGACGATGTGACTGTTCTGAGTTGCCTTTAAGATTAATTTTGAAAATAAAATTGGATTTCCAATGTGAATCCTCCAATGTGATTTTTTTCACGCCATTAGTAATGGTCCTAAGATTCTAGAAGTGCTAATTTAACTTTCAGATCTTGTCAGATTTGTATGTTATGGCCAATATACTGAAGTGACTTCGCTCCAATTTTGTCAGTTCTATTGTGTTAGTGACATAGTATATGTTTTTGTTGTTTGGGATTGATAAGGATATAGTTCAGGGGTGTTTAATAATGTTGCCTGCATTGTCTTCTGAGTATAATAATAATATCCAAAAATTTAAGGCCTTTGCACTGGAAACGGGTACAGAGTTAACAAATAGATATCCATGGCACTATATTCCACCCGCAGCTAATAAAATTTTTATACATATAAATTTGTCATTGTATCGATTGGAGAATTATAGGAGGTAGCCGTGGAGTCTAGAAACAAAGATATAAAAGAGTTTCGACTAAATCATACCCATACATTCTCGTGTTTCAACAAACACAGATCTTATTAACCGTCCAAACCAAGCAAAAAAATCTGTATTATTAAAATCTGCATTTGATTTACTTGAATAACACTGAAATTTATAAATATCCGTTAGTAATTTGATTTAATTTTATATTGCATTGTTTATTTTGTTTACAAAAAAATTGTCTATTTTGAATTGATTTGTATAAAAAATACTTCTGTTTTTGGAGGTACCGTTCCTAATAATTTTCAGTAAGACTATTTTTCAGCTCTTTAGAACGTAAGAAGAACCGAACAACCTAGTGTAGAAATGTGACAAAAATTCGGGAGGTACTTTGTATGGGGACCATGCCAAAACATGCATCGACCATATCCATTTTGTCACATTTTTATTTTTATCCCATTAAGGTACCATAACCAAAGAATCATATTGATATCTGCACTGAAAGTATTTTTGGCCGCTGTTCCCATGCGACCTCGACCACTGTGCAGTCTGAAGTTGGTTGTTTAGAATGGGTTGTATGGCCGAAAGTGGTGAACTGCCGATGAGAAAATATTCGTTGTCCAGCAGTTTACAAACAAACAAAATGATCGTGTTTACTTGATGAAAATATGCACCTTTGGTTGATCGCCAGATCCCAAGCGCCGGCCATGGTCATTATGTGGGCCGCCATAACAGAAGCATAAATGCAGAATATTATCGCGAAAATATTCTAGAGTTTGTAGGGTAAGTGTGCCTAAGTTCGGCATGTCCCAGTAGTCGGCACTTTTTATTTTTAAGCCCAAATAAATGAAACTATTAGAACTAAATGTATTTTGTTTACTTCAAATATATTGCCAGCTATCTTTGTGCACAATTTCGCTAAGAAAAGATGATTTATTCTAATACAAATTAAATTTTTGTCTGTGAAGGTCCTCTACAATTCATATTCTTAAGAAAAGTACAATACAGACGTCGAATCAGTTTACTTAAGCAAAAATATTATATTTTAATGAATTAATTTATTATTATTATTATTAATTATTCTTACAAAAAAATTGGTATGCTGACTGTTGGAACATGCCATACCGACAATTGGTAAGTGATGCAGACTACTGGCAAAAAAGCATTGTTTTAATAAAACTACAAATTTTTGAAATTTAATAAAAAGTTATTAAAACTTTATTTATTATTGCAAAATCTATACAAAATTTCGAATCTGAATAAATTAACTTTGTAATAATTGAAATGTTCCACTCAGAATGGTGAGCGATTAAAAACGCGAAAATCCTAAAAGTGCGGACTTCTGGTACACTTACCCTATTTGGTTTAGAATGATAATTAATTAAAACACTTACCCTATTAAAGCCTTAGGCACGCAA